TGAAATAAAGTTGTAAACATTGAGGCGTATGTTACTTCAGGTAGCTTCTCAAGTAGCATAACAATAAAACAGAATGCATAGAATGCTTTTGACTTAGTGATTTCTTGTAACTAGGAATCTAGAATCTAGAAAAAGCTGTTCATTTGAAATCATGAGCTTTGTGGCATTAAATGCACCTTGAGCTTTGTGTACAATGGTCATGGAAGTGACCCTAAATTCCTGCACAATGGGAAACAGTAGTTTAAATACATCCAGTGTTCTGAGAAGATACTGAAGTATTTGCGTGGTGCAAACCACTGAGCTCAGGAGGTTTTCAAGGATCCTCTGGCATCACACCAGTTTTCATATTCTTATCCATTATTTTAACTTGGGCCAACAAATTTCCAGTGTGATGATTACCAGGATTTGATTACATTTAGCAAGCCATGGAGTCCCTTCTCTCTGAAGACAAACTGCTGCCAGAGACAGATTTACCACTGACCAACAGTGTTTTTATGCAAATGTGCCTGAGTGCAGTAACCCCGAATTATAATAGTCATTCAATCTCTTGCCAGGACAGCAATATTTATATATTGCAGAGATAAATGGGATATCAAAATCAGTTCCATTACAGAGGCAAAGTTCTCTATGTAAATCAGGATTTCTAATCATGCTGCTTCTACTCACTACCCCACTTTTCTTTCCTTCAAAGCGTGCTCTCCTATTGTGTATTCACTTTGAATATTGAAGTGTTCAACTAATGCCGAGCTAATGGAAAATGTAAACACCTTGCTAGGAAACTTGTAAGTCTCCAAGTGTATTTCTTCATGCCCTAGGCAGCACTGTAAAGGACTTGTATTCACGGATAGTGTTTGGTCTGCCATTTCTGTAAGTTTCTGTTTGGACTTCTATTACTCCTGCTGCCTGATGGGAGGAAAAGGACAGTCATCTACCTAGAGACTTCATCCTTCCCATCAGGGATGAGTGTAAGAGGTCAGATGCTCCCCTGCATGTGAGTGACCAGCTGCTGCCAACAGTGCTGCTTTGAGACAATTGCCCTTGTGTGCTGCAGGGGCTAACATTAAGAGACACGTGAAGTCACTTGGTTTGTTGTTGCAATAGCTGAAACATGCATTGCAGCATGCAGAAAATTTGATCAATGCAGTCATAAATGGAATAAATTATCCTTAGAATAAAATTTTTAGAAGACAGAAGAAATACAACCTGCCTAAAAATACAATTTGCCTAAAAAGAAATAGTTTATAATCTATACTTGATAGACACATATAGCGTGTAATTTTAGAATACAATTTGAGGATCAAAATGAAACAACTTTCTGAATTAGGTCACAGGCACAGTTTTCACAAGTGTCATAGGAAAATCCTCATTATAACCTGTTCTAAGTCAGAGAATCATAGAATATCCCAAGTTGGAAGGGACCTGTAAAGGTCACTGAGTCCAAATTCTGATTCCACACAGGACCACCAAGATGTTTAGTGAACAAGTCCATTCATTATTCTGAACTGTAATTGAATAAAAGTATAAGAAGGCAACAAGAACAGTGCCACTAGGTCAACTTACAAGTTTGCATTTCTCAGTATCTGACCTCTAGCACCAGCTTGTGTTGCATGATTAGAAATAAAGCATAAGAGGGCAAACTTACACTGATATTTCTTTTAAGATAACCTGCCAGATCTATATCAATTTGTGAATTAGGAATTTTTTAAGACTAGTATGGTATTATGATTTAACAGAATATCGTGTAAAAAGGCTTTTCTGTTTGTTGTAGAAGAGATATGACATTCCTTGGTTTTTGATTTTAGAGAAATGCTAAATAACAGTACTGTGTTTACCTAGTTCATGCTACCTAAGATTTTCTCTACCTATATCATTATTCCTCCATTCATCTTCCTTCCTGAAGGATCCTAGTCTAAATTCTTTTCATACAGAAGATATTTCTTACTGTGTCTGGTTGCCTTTTTCTCTTTCATCTCTTATCTTTCATGTCATTCTATGCATTGTTGATCAACTGTAGCTACAGACTCTGTAGTACATGGAAGTACCAGTCATAATATTTAATAGGATTTTTTTAAAATCAGTTTTGAGCATCAAGCAGATATTGTCATAGAAGTAGCCACAGTAACTACATAATCTTAATTTCTGCAGGACAGCCGTAACCCATATAACATATACATATAGACCTATACACATGGACGCACGTTTCTTTCTAAATATGCATGAATATAACAGGTTATACATGTCATTAGCTCTGTCAGTTAGCTCTGTTTCCTTTAATGGGCATTAGATTGCATGTATTCAATTTTCTGCCTTCTTGTTGCCTGTTACTCTGTAGTGTGAAATTCTTAAACAGTTTTTATAACTGGCCATTATTTTTACTTTGCTGAATCCTCAGTATCTCGCTATCTGGTTCTGTTCCCAGACTCTATTTAGGGGAATATGTTGAGCAGTACATAGCCCAGCACGGCTTCTTCTGAGAAATCAGTGACAGCTTCATACCAGAATGAAGAATGACTTTGCCTTTCCCATCTTTTAATTTAAAAGAAGTCTTGACCGTGTTTAAGAGAGTTTAATTTCTTTTAGAGTTGTTGGTGAGGACCTCTTAAGGACAAATGCAATTCATTCATTGATGTCTTGGTCCTTTATATTCAAGCAGTGTACCCAAGCTTATGTAACACCTTTGAGGAACTGGACTAGAATATCTGCACAGCTTTTTTTCACCCTAAGTTCTTATCGAAGTAATTTAGCTCAAGGATTTGTTGAAATGAATGTTGCACACAAAACCATCAGGTTGAATATGTTAGCAACAGTACTAATGAGCCCTAAGTTAAGTTTTTCAAATTTCCAAATTACATTTTGCATTTAATGTTTACTGCTTCTGAAGGGAGGTTATGTCTAATTTAAGTCTCATTCTAAAAATACTCATATTTTGCTTAAAATAACTCTGCTTTGAGAATGTAATATGGTAAATGCTAACTTTTAGAAAATACTTCACTTTTTTTGATAGGTAGGAGTATTATTTAGTTCCATCTTCCAATGTTTAATACACTACATTTTTGGAGATGTGTGATATGGATCAAAGGGCAGAATTTGGCCCTTAGTTACCTGCTGTTACTGGCACTAGTCTTACAGCTATTGAAAAATGATGCATCAAATTTATATCACTGCAAATGTCACTATTCTGAATCTTGCATATGTTGCCTGAGCTGTCAGTAATAAAAATCTGTTCTTAATTATTCTCCCATTTAAAAAATAACCATTTTCTAATAACCAAATGAAAAAGAATTAGATGTTTTCTTTGGCTGGAAACATTTTAATGATTTAGTGCCTCTATAAAGTTTTGTGTGCTCTTGTAAATTAGTGAGACTTTCCCATTTAAATCTATGATTATCAAGAAAAGCAGAATTTGTTTAAATCTAAGTTAAAAGTGTATGAGTAACTCAAGGAAAATATTTAAAGAGAATACAATCCTTTAAACAATTCAACAGAAAACTCAACAGGCAGAATTGGATTTACATGTGTTATAGAGATACTAACTATAATAATTAATTGTTAAAATTAATCCTATTGTATTAAAATATTTTACCATCTTGTTTTGTTCTTTAATTGTAAATTATACAGTTTATTTTTGCTCCATTAATATCATGTGGTACATTTCACTGTGATGGGAAAATCAAAATGGCAAAGAATATTAAGAAAATGAAAGCACTGGATAGCATTTGATTTTCTGATTGGAAGCAGAATAACCCAGACCATAAATCCTATTCGATTTTAATATATATATTTTTTCCCCTATCACAATATTTCTTTTGGTTAATTATCTTCTTTCAAAGCCCAAAGAAGTGAACAGAAAAGACTCAATTTGAAACTTTGGACTAGAATTACAGATATGATAATTAGCATGAAATTCTACCTTCATTAAAATGTGACGTATTTAAAATACACAAAGAATAATGTGCTCTCCTATCTTTGTTTTCTTTAGTGTGATGATAGACTAACATTTTAGCTCATGGCTCTGCTTCACCAAATAGCCTATCTTTTGGAAACGGGGATATTAACAGCCAATCTATAAAACATACATGATATAAAGCTAAAAAATTTTTTTGCTTGTCCATCTGGTCTTGGCAGCATGTATTTAAACCAGAGCATATTATGTATTTCATACAAAACACCTTATTTATTTCTGCATAATATTTCATTACCTTACTTTTTTGCTTTTCAAACCAGATTGCTATAATACTATTTAAGATACTGATTGTATTTCTGTTTGTATCCAAAATTCTAGACAAAATTTGTCCTCACTCCTTGAAGTGAAACAAACTAAAATTTATTTTGACAAGTACGATATTTACATGTTATTTACATGCTATTGGAAATGTAATGTCAAAATGCTATGTAGTCAAAATGCAGTATGGGCATCAAAATAATTGCTGATAGGAGTTTTTCCTGCCCTTTTTGCATTGAATCTATGTACTAATTGGAGCAAAAATCCTATTAATATATATATATATATATGGTCTCATAATTAAAAACAATAATAATGTATGCACACAAGGTCTGAGTTAGAGTTGTATGCACTGTCTGGAAAAAGATACTAGCACTGTATGGGTCACTGATTTTTCTTTTGTCAGATTTTAAATATCTATTGAAACAATATATCTGTAAATATAAGCATAAAAAATTCTAAGCTGCAAACATTTCATTTTATGAAAAGGAGCATTTCCTGTTTTCTCATTTGCTGAGAGATTTTTTCTTTCTGTGTATGAATTTAAACAAGCCATGGAGTATATTATTGTGTTTTAGAATCATTCTGGTCAAGGTATTTTAGAATAGTGTACCAACAGGCCCAGATGCACCAAAACTTAAAACTGAAATCACTTCTTAGTGATTAGAAAAGGCAGTTCATATCCTTTTTTATCTATTATCATATATAGCTTTGCTAGTTAGGATGAAAACTATCAAAATCATGTCTAGACCAAATGCAATTTTTTCAACTTTTTCAGATCTTAGTGACCAGCTTATGGAAGTAGTTGGTCTGGAAGGAGCCATGGAGATGGGTCAAATATATACAGGTCTGAAAAGTGCTGGAAGAAGGCTTGCCCAGTGCTCATCCGTTGTCATCAGGTATTGACAGATCTAATTTGCCCTACACTGTTGTACTGAACAATAAAGTTTTATATATTATCAATTGATATTTATATTTCACCAGTACAGTTTATTTAACGGTGTAATAGTCATAATTACTGAACTTAATGCTTGTGAGAGTATCAATTTATATATCAAATGTGTTCTATTCATTTTTCTGTGCCCATACATCTTTCTTGCTTTAACTGTATGAAAGAAAGAGAGAAAGCAAGAAAGAAAGAAAGCAAAGAAAGAAAGAAAAAGAGGGAAAGAGGAAAAGGAAGGGAGGAAGGTGTTTACATTCAGTTTTTGCATGTTGTATTTAACTGTCATTTCAACCTATGAAGAAATATTGTTAAGCAATTGGAGGAGAAGGAGTAATGTATGAACATCCTGGTTTATTTTACTGACTGCACTCTGTGCAGATTAGAGCAAAAAGGCATTTAACGTTACTTTGACACATTTTAACCCATTTGTAATGCATTTCTCACCAGAGAATAGTAGTATGCAATTAGTATTTGTAAAGCACTTGTTTGATCCATGGAAGTCAAAGTGCTCTCTTTTAAATTTATTTGTTATTTATTGAATGCTGGTAAGTTACTATTAATAAATACATTGATATGTGTAAGCTGTGAGCAGTGGAGCAGATTAACTTAGCTACGTTTTATCACTTACTATGCTAACAGTGACCAGTATGTTTACAACAGAGGAAATTTGGATGCACTCTTAAGGAAAAAATATTTATTCTAACTTTTGGATTAAATAAGGGCTGGAAAAGAGAAAGGCATTCAACTTCATCCGTACAGAATTTTTCAGGAAGAATTTTGCAGAATTTTAATAGTTAAGTCAAAAGTTACAGAATGAAAGGATCAAGACTGAAATTGGATATAAAGTATGATAATTAACAGAAAGAGTAGAAGTCAAAACTTAAAGATAGTTCAGGAATTCCTGAAGCTTGTGGCCTATTTTTGAGACTATTCTCAAGGACCAGGTGATCCTGGCTTCAAATTACTCTCTCATGAGGGTGAGGAAGAGAAATGAGAATGCAGAGTCATTCATTCCCATCTTCCCTGGATACCACGATACAATATTTATAATCCCAAATCAACAAGAACTGCAAAAGAGCTAGAATTATTTCAAACTTATGTGAGACATCATTGAATATTCTTTCCTTCTTTTTCTTCTGGCTGTTGATGACTGTGGTTAACACTACAACCTGCTGGTCATTTTAAAATAATGTCTGACATAGAATTTCCACTGATCATGAGTGATCAACTGACTCATTTTTCCACTGTTAGAATTGATTCTTCCGTGTTATATTGAGTTGTCCAGACTATAACACGGTCTGACTATAACACAGAAATATAGAGTTGGAAAAGGTCATTTAAAAGATCATCATTTTTAAATTTTATTTTCTTTTTATCATTTATCTATGATTTTCTAAGTATGGAACCCAAAAGTAGGCATAGAATACTATCTGAACATTAATATTGAAATCATTGACCCTTTACTAACAATTTATAACATGGTAAATTAAATCTACTGAACACAATAGAACTGTCTGTGGCTACTGATCTGTCTAACCTGCTGTTAGGCACAAGTATAAAAATATCTTTCATGATTTTAGTAAAGCAATATTAGAGTTAAGATTTATTTCTCCTTTTCTTTACAGTATTCAGTCTAAATTCAAAAAATAATAACAACAGATTTCCGTGTTTTTTCTTTTCCTGTAAATAGTTTTTTTCTTGAAGTTGTTGCATAATTCTCTCTTCATTTCACAAATTGAAGACTATTCTCTCATGAGACAGTAGAGTCTAGCAAGATGTGTGTGCAAGGTGTCTGCCTACTAAGAAACTGGTTTACTTTTGTAAGCATGTTGGAGATTGCATAGAAGCTTGGGTAAATCTGGTATATACGTGTGTGCCATCACATATATCTCCTTAAAAGTACATTTTTCAATTTTGTCCAGTTGCATTTTCTTATTTTATGAAATATACCACTTTAGGACCAGCAAGTCTCTGCCTATGCAGATAGATGGGGAACCTTGGATGCAAACCCCCTGCACGGTAAGGATACAGTTATTGATGGGATGAGGACTAAACAAAAAGTACATAAACTTTATTTTGTAATTACAAAAATTACTGTAGTCACTTATATTTACTGATTTATTTAATGTCAGTCCTTGAAATGAAGGAAACAAGATCTTTTAGTTTAAGAGACAACCCTTATCATTATTAATTCAATTACTTAACTAACATGTTCATATGCTGTTATTGTATAGCTCAACACCTACTGCCTTTTCAATTTATCGTGTTGTTTTTTCTACAGGCTAGGATGGAATAAAAGGTCAGTTATTTCATAAGTTTGGAAAATACAGGGTGCATAGCTTTACGCAATGTGATCATTTATTTCTGATGCTGTATTATTTTTATAGTTTCTTGTTGCATTACTGAGGAAGAACCAGTGTGAGCTAATAAGTAAATAATTATTCTGTAAAAATTCAGGCAAGATTTCCTTTGTGTGTTTGAGAGTTCATAGCAAGAACATTGTATTTAAAGCTGAAGCCTTGGCTGTACTGTTTGAATTATACAACAGAAATAATAATTAAAAATTGGTTTAAAGAAGAAAGGAAGGCAAATAAACAGGAGGAAGAAATCCATTCCTCCAAATTTGATCAAATAGGGAAACGCTTGCTCACTGCAGATTCTTTGAGGAACTGGCTACACTGTTCAGTTGAGGGAGCAGCGCAACAAAGGTAGAGCACTAAGAGCTCTACATTGTCATCTGTCTTTGATTAAATTACAGAGAGTAATGAAGCAAATCAAGATATTGCAGAGTTTTAAGCTTTTTGTTGTTATGTATAGTCATAGTAATGTACTTTAGTATGCAATTTTACTGACTTTTACTAAAGAAAATCTGTACTGTTAAGTAGCTGAGTCTCTGTCACCTTACACTTTGTAAATGACAGTAATGTGCCAAAGAAGAAGGTATTCCACCACAGGAGAGAGTCATTATCCAAATTTAGGTTCTGGATCACTTTCATTATCATTGTCTCTAGTAAAGATAAAGGCAACACAGAGAAATTAAAGGGAGCACCTTCAGTAATGTGCTATCAAGCCTGGGAGCTGGTAACGTATAGGCTAAGAGGAATGAAGAGTTGTGATAGTCCAGGTTTTCTGGATATTCTGTAGTGTACAGCTGAACCATGGGAAAGTGCCTAAAATCTAATTCTCTGTGGTGAGTACTAAGGTACTGCAATGAGAAGGGAACTGTGTAAACACACACTGTGTTTACAGAACAGGCAGAATAGTGGAGATTTTCTGATGTAATCCAATAAACTTTTTGGAGTTAGATGTCATTACCTTTACCTCTTCTACACAAATGGTTCATTGCAGAACAGTGCTGTACACAGCATTTACTTGTTCAAGAAAAACAGAATTTTTCAGTTACAGATTACAGAAGATAACTTCTGGAAGGATGCTGGCAATGAGGCATGCTTTTTTGGTCCTGATTTCTTGCTCTGTACAAAATCCCCTGCTATCTGATAATAATGCTAGCAGAAGCTGCCTGCATGACTTAGGACAAATCTGGAAATAGAGAATAGAGTTTTTACATTTCAATTACTGCCTTAAGGAAACAGTAAATTATTGCTGATAATTACTCCTGTCCAATCAAAGTAAACTTTTTACATGGGATAGAAGTAGCATATACTTTCCTGTGGAAAATATCCCTTGTGATATAGCACCGTTAAGAGAAACTACTTTGTGTTATGTAAAAAAAAAAACTCACTGTAGACTGTATTTCTTTCATATGAGAAGAGCTACTTCTTTTCTGTGCTACTGCACCACTATGAATTTAGGTCCAGAATAAGTATTTTATGTTACATTATTCATTTTTTAGGAAATATTTTGTTTGTTTGTTATGTCTCTTCTGAGCATCTTAATGTATTTATGGAGTTGCTCCTCACATTATTGCCCCTCTAAATTTCACACAAAGAGAAAAGATATAGTGCAACCTCTCATCTCTCCATCAGTATGCTGAAGTTTTTCCTTTTTTGCAAAGTACTAGAAATTGCTCCTGTGACAATGCCAAAAATAGATGTTAGATTTGATTTCTGAGTGTGTGTTTCAGAAGAGTCCTTGGAAGCCAAAATGTACTTGACCATATAAATATAGGAAAGATCTCTGTAATGTGTATCCAGAACTAGTCTGAAAAAATATAAAATCATAACAATTAATTCTTATGCACAGCCAGCTAGGTAGCCTGCTTTTTGAACTAGAAAGAGCTCAAATTTCAGAAAAAGTGTAATGAGACCAACATAAGAATTGTGAATTTTTGTCTTCTCTGGAAACAAAATTGCAGCTTTTTCCCAAAGTTACCTTCAAGCAAATGACCAATTAAACTTGCTCAGATGAAGAAATCCAGGAGTTTTGTTTCTTAGATGATGTATGAGTTTTCTTTTCCTTTTATTTCCACTCTTAGTAAATGTATTTCCTTAAATCTTACAAGGAACTGAGGCCATTATAAGAAGGTGCTGGCATTCATACACCATGCATTGCAACATATGGGGGACATTCCCATGCTTCACATAAGAATGCTGAAGGATGCCCTTATTAGTTTACTATCTGTGTGATTTACAGAACAGAAGCTACTGTCCCAACTCAGTACTAGTCTGCTTGTGTATACGAGTTCTATGCACATCAGTTAGTTCATGTACACAGATCATGCTCATCAGTTAGACAGAAGAGCTGAGCCTCACCTTTTTGATTCTTGAATGCTCCAGACATAAATCTGTTGCTGAAAAAAAGACTGCTATCTCTCGCTCTCCAATATACTTTCAAAAGCTGAAATAACACATTTGATTTTGACATAGTAACATCAGGAATTTTGGCTTCCTTTAAGTTCAGTAGTTTTAGGGTCTGACCTAAAAAAATTTGAGAGATCAAGTAGGAAATCAATACAGTCAGTATGTTTTGAATCAACCTTGCCCAAGGTTGCAAGTGGCTGAGCTCAGAAGTCCTTTTCTGCTTCTTCTTCATGTTTTGGTACTAATGACAGCATTTTGCAAATGATTTCTCAAGAAATCAGGTTCAACCTAATCAAAAATCTCTTGCTATATTCCATTATCCAGACTAAGCTATATTAAATCCCTATTATATATGGGATGCAGGCTCCTCATACAGGTTTGGAAGTCTATTTCCCACCAAAGAAATCAACAAGTTTACCTTTCCTAATTCTCCTGTCCTTTCTCACACACAGAGACTGTGTATCCCTAAATGACAGTATAGACTCTCTCTCTCTCTCTGTCTCTCTCTCTCTCTCTCTCTCTGTCTCTCTCTCTCTCTCTCTCTCTCTCTCTATATATATATATAGAAAGAAAGAAAGAAAGAAAGAAAGAAAGAAAGAAAGAAAGAAAGAAAGAAAGAAAGAAAGAAAGAAAGAAAAGAAAAGAAAGAAAAGAAAGATGTGAAATATAAAAATGCAGTGATTCCCCAGAAGCTATGGTCTGTGATTTTTCATTCCTGTGGTCAGTTTTAGTACTAAAAAGTTGCTGTGTTGTTATTTATTATCTCATGTTCTCATACTGCACAATCAACTAGCATCCCTAAAAGAGAGCATGAATGTATTCCTAGACTCTGTGAGTTGCCTCAGTCTAAAAATCTAATAAACATCCAGAATTACTGAATATGTTGAACACATGGAGACTACAGTCTGACAAAGTCACTTTTTCCAGTATAATAAGATGCAGAATCTGAGCATCAAATTGCATTGTTTTCACTGCATTTTTTTTTAATAGAAAAGTCTTTGGGACAAGGAAAGATGATAATGTTAATGTTATGTTAAACATCTTGTCTGATTAGCTGAGGAGGAAATTCTATCAGAGCTCTCCCAGACAAATATAGCAACATGAAAGATATCTATGGTTTCACCTGATCTCCAAACAGGTCATTAATAGTAATGAAACTTCAAAGACTCTCAAGTTAATTCAATAAACCTGTAGCTTTAGCCATCAGGACATTTTAAAGAAAAGTAATCTTTCAATTTAGCTACATAAAATATTAGTATTGTTTTGAAAAATCTATAGGAATATTCCATCTTAATAACTGTGATTTCAGTTCCTTCATCTATTCCTGACTTGATTGACATCATGTCTGTTATAATGTCAAGCTGCTAGTATAATTAGATTAAAATGAAGAGAGAAATGTGTACAAAATGTGAAAGAATATTGCCTTGATGAAGGAATGAAAATGGTAATCCATACTCAGAGCCTATCTGATGGGCTGGCAGAAATAAAATCATCTGAAATATTTATCTTTAATAGTATTTTATAGAATTATTTACTGGTAGGAAAACTTGTATGAAGCCATTTAATAATGGAACTCAGAAATTATATTTCATTATATTAGGATTTGTGTGCACCTTAAAATAAGTTTGAATAAATTAATGAATGTATGGTTTCTTTAGCCTTGCCTTTAGTCCATAAAGATGTGGAGTGTGAGCACAAAGGACTCTGTGAAGTCCGCCTTTGTACTTAAGTCCAGACAGAAAGCAAGAATAAAAGTACTGTTAATCATATTTGTGATCTCCTAGAGCTAGTTGAAGGAAAAACTGAGATTTCTTTTTATTTAGATCCGTTGAGGTCCATTCTGACCCAAGCCATTCATTCACTGTTGTTATAAAGAATTTGCAGCTGTTCTTACAGATTATCAGTTGGTAAACTAACCTCTATCCATGTCATTGAATGTAATAATATTTTTTTTATATTATGGGAAATTAAATTTTTGTCTGTTTCTTTTGAGCAAAGATAAACTGAGTTGTAGTTGTGGTAGCTTGTGTGAGTACAGTGATAGACAGTTCCAACACAATTAAGCCCCACATGAAATTCTAGAGTGGAAGCTAGAAAAAATAGTTCGGTCTTATGCTGAAATGCTGCACTTTCTCCCCACAACAACGTGCATACTTTGTGTTTCAAGACCTGCGTTGTTCATTGTGCCTCTAACACTTTTATCATGAATCTGGGCATTATTTTTTGTGTTCACAGGTACAGTGCACATTAATTAGCTTT